AATGCGACACAGACAGATAGCAGACAAATCGGGGAGTTATTCGTTGTGTCAGGTATTTGTCATTGTGGGTATGAGGAAAACTGTCCTTATATTTTGGAGATGCATATTGAAATAATCAGGGATATATTAGCATTATGTCCAAATTCACTCTAAAATGTTTCCACAGAAAAACAGCAAGAAAATACAGCAACATTTTATTAAATGTGAGTCACCAGTATTTTGGCATTTAATATTCTCTTCTGTTAATTTTTCTAAGTGTTTGAAATTTTTCTTAATTAAGAATATTAATACCCACTTCACACAAACAGAAGGCGCTCTCTGCATCCTCTGGAGCCGTGGCTAAGGGAGCGAGGACTAGTCGAGAGACGGGATTTGACTCACCAGCCACTGACCAACCGGGAACGAGCCCAACTGGCTTCTGCGTTTTTGATGAGATTTCGAGGCCTTTAAGGACTTCAAAGGCGAATAGGTTTTAAAGTTACAGGAATGAAAGTAATAACTGGCTAATATTCAAAGGGTGAGTGAAACTGTTCTGTCTGGTGACTCAGGGGGGCATCTGCAGGACTTCTGTGAGCTCAAACCACACAAATCACAGAAAACCAGCGCTCCAACTTCCAGGAGGATGACCTGTCCCCCAGCCAGCCCAGCCGTCAGCAGTTCCGCTCATTCCACCTTCCAACATGCTCTGTGAGCCATGCCCTTCGTGCCATCCCGCTACCACGGCCTGGATGCGCAGCTGTCCTGCTCTCTTCTAGTCCCCTTCTGCAGACACACAACCCGACCCCATCTGTCTGTCTCTGTCCATGTGTGTGTCTCTCTCTATTTCCCCTCAATCATTACCCCTAATCAGTCCCCATCAGAATGAACTATCTAAAATACCGATTTGACCTTGTCAGTTCCACATGTAAAAACCGTCCTTCAAAGACTCCTGGTCACCTGAAGGCAGGCTCGGCCACCCTCCCCAGGCTGCCTTCCCTTCCCGTCCTCGCTGCCTCTCACTGTTGTTCTTGCCTCACACTCTGCGCCGGTCCTTGCCTGAGTCTTATTTATGTTCCTGAGTCTTATCCATGTCACTCTCACCTTTGACGCACACACATGCACACACACACACATGCACACATGCACGTGCACACTCCAGGCTCCCCTCTCCCTGTGGACATGTACTCACCCTGGAAACTGTCCTGCAGCCTTTCCCGGGATCCTTCCTTAGCCCCCGCAGGCTCGGTGCCCCCCTGCCCACCCCGAGTGCTCACAGCATCGTGTGTGTGCCTTGACCCATGAACACACCCCTCATTTGAAAGAATGTGCTCACCTCCCAAGCCAGCTCACGTGTTACCCCCGTCCACGTCACCCAATCCGGTCACAGTGTGGAATGGAGGAAACATTGTCCTAAACCGAACTAAAGTAAAAAAGACACTGTGAAATGTTTTCATAAAAAGCATTTCAAGGAACCTGGGAAATAAATGGACGTGTACAGAGGAGCCATAGAGACATGTGGAGAAAGGCTTTCCGTAGTTCTCAGCCTCCACCAGTGAGTTCCTGCTTGTTTGAAGGTCAAGGTTTTCTATTTCTGATCTTCGTTGGTTTCCTCCTGATCTCCCAGATGTCAACAACATTAGGCAGGACCCTCGAGACTCCAGATCTTGCTAAATAGTTATTTGTAGAAATATGAGCAGATTTTCATCAGATTAGATCTTCCATCCACGGCTTTTGGTTTAACAACCTTACATTTAGGCTCCTTGCTCTCCTTTGGGGAAAAAAAAAGGGCGAGATGACAAGTGTCCGGAGATACTGATTTCTGCATTGTCACTAAAAGGATCAATGCCCAGGGCCGGGGATGATCCTGTGCATGTCCTGCCACTCCAGCTGCCCACACAGGTTTGCGTTGATGTTCTCGGTGCTCACTGAGATGGCATTTGGGGACGTGCCCAGAATTCTGACACCTCTTAGACAGAGTCTCGCCCTCCTCGCCGTCAGTGACTGTGTGTTGGAAATACCAATAATGTGTCTTTTGATTATTCTGGAAATCTGTGTGTTTCTTTTCACCTGGCTCTTTTTACAATACCATTGTTATTCACATGGAAGGGAGCGACCTTTTGTCCGTGTTTGCCAAAGGCATCAGAGAAATGGTTTAAACCTTTATAATCACTTTAATTCTGCATGTGCGTGGCCTACGTCTGTTTGGTTCTGAGTGAGCTGTCACAGCAGCTGCTCAGAGTTGGCTCCTTTCTTGTTCAGACGTTTCTCTCTGCTCACATGCCCCACTCGCAAATCTTTGCACCACCAGCCGTAAGCTCTGCTCAGCTTTGAGCCTCAAGAGTAGGGGCTACTGTTGCTAACACAATGCCTTGATCCTAGAGATGCTTGGTGAATAAGTTTAGTCCCAGTGATTTATTCTTCTTCTTGCAAGTCAATAATATTGATAATATAGCCACACAAATTGAAAGAACCTGTTAACACATTGAGATAAAATACTATTATATAAGCTTGTAATATGTACATTTAAAGGTGTGGATTTTTGAATAGGAAGGTTTGGTGTGCCTAAAATCCTTTTTTTTGAAGTTGAGAACAGTGTTATTTTATTTTTTAATGAAAATATATATATTTAGGTGTACAACATAATAGTTTGATATACGTATACACAGTGAAATGATTACTACAGTCAAGCTGATTAATCTCCATTTCCTTACTTAGTTCTCTGTTTTGTATATGTCTGATGGGAATACCTGAAATGTACTCCCTTACACATTTCCAGTATTCAACACAGTATTATTAACTATGGTCTTCATGGTGTACATTAGATCTCTAGACTTATTCATCCTTATTCATAACTGCCACTCTGTGCCATTTGATCCACGTCTCCCCGTTTCCCTCACGTGCCAGCTCCTGGTAACCAACAAACTTCTTTCTGCTTCTGTGAGGTTGACTTTTTTTTAGGTTGCACATGTAAGTGAGATCATCCAGTATTTGCCTTTCTCTCACTGGCTTATTTCACTTAGCATAATGTCCTCCAGTTTCAGCCATGTTGTTGCAAATGGCATGATCTCTTTTTATGGCTGAGTAATATTCCACATATATAACTTTGTTTTCCATGCACCCATTGACCAGACACCTAGTTTCTTTCCATACCTCGGCGATTGGGAATAATGCTAAAATCCTTGGTGTTGCATGGTCTGGATGCTCTTCTTTTCAAGTCAACACCAGCACTCTCTGAGTCTAAATCTTTCATCATGCCCAGGCCTGCTCCCCTTGTGATTTCTCAGTCATGGTACACTCTCCGTTCACTGTCCAGTTTAAATTCTAATGTTCTGCAGCCTTGTGCTCCATGCTGATGATCTTAGACTCAGTTACCTCTGAAGGCTTTCCTTTTACTACATCTAGTTGTCAATTCAGGGTATTCTGTGATAAATCAGTGTATTTTCCTCTATAGCTTCTCCTATCTGTTTTGAATTGGATAGCTCCAAAACTGTGCTACAATATCCACATGTGCATTTTTTCCACCACCCATTTAATGTTTTCTGAAGAGCTCACTCTGGTAACTGGCTGCCTGACAGCCATCACACCTGGAGCCCCCACTCTCTGCTGGGCCAGGCAGCTCTGATCCTTGTGGGTAAAGACCATATACCCATCTTTATGGTATGCAGGGCTGAACTTGGAGGTGTAAACTATTTTTGTCACAATACTGTCCACTTCATGAGAATAGATTTATGATGTACGTATAAGATGAAAGAACATTTTCCTTAAGCTGCCGCACTCTAAACTAACTGGAGATACTGCAGTTAGTTTAAAAGCTGTGAGACAAAGCATGCTTGTTTTGATAAACTCAAGAACAAGGTCAAGCATTTTGAGATCTTTAAAAGAAAAATGAATTTTCCCCTATTCTTATTTCTACCGCCTCCGGTTGACATTGGGTGAATTCTCATGTGGTCCACTTTGCAGAGCGCCTTCCCAGAATAACCCACCAGCTCGGTAGCATGGCTTGCAATATGAGCCATCTTTCCGCCTCACCATGCTAGCAGGCACAGCAGAGATGCACTCTAAGTACACGCTAAATGGACATCTTGGCCCAGGAAACGACAATGTCAGCAGCACAGCGGCATCTTTGATAATGAAGGACAATGATATAAAGGGGGATTGAGGCTGGAAAGCAGAGCAAATTGTCCTCGAGATCTCCCAGCATGCTCTGGGCCTCCCTGTTGAGTTCACGTCCACGTCCATTTCCTCATTCTAAAGGTTTTCAGTCTTGTCGGCCTTTGTTCTCCGTCCTGTTTGGAGGACAATTTCCCATATGCCAGATGTCTCACTATGTCTTGGGTAATTATAACTATTTAAGGAATTTCAAGAGAATGCCAGCTCATTAGGGACTTAGAGTACTTGACATTCTCTCTGATAAAAACCAGTTTGTTGAAGGGTTTAAAATTCACGCAACATGTGGTATAAAACAGGATCCAATTTGAAGGAATTGAAATTTGGGTAATCAAGATCTGAATAACTGAGATATGACCAAAGAAAATAATATTTCCTATTAGATTAAACTTTCCTACAATATGATCATATTCTATATGCTATATTTTTCAAGATGTTAAAATAATAACAGGATTCATAGACCTATAAGGCAGGAGGGTAAAAACTTTGTTGAAGAGGAATATTAGAGAAGGGAATATTCTAATTAGCAAAATGTGATGTTTACACACGAATTAACAGGAAAAATCTTTTTTGTTCCTCTCCATGTCACTGCTTAGTGAGAAAGACTTGGTGAATGGATTGTAAACGACTTTTCTTGTTGAAGACGCTGAGTGTGACTCGAGGTCATCGTTTCAACCTCAGGGACAACTGCCCCTGACTACATCGTGGATGCAGATGATGTGGATGCAGATGTCGTGGACGCAGACGTCTGTGGACGTAGACGTCGCGGATGCAGATGTCTGTGCCACCCGCCTCGGGGACTATTGGGAAACACAGGAGACAAGGCTGAAGGTATACCGCCTCCAGGAAAGCAGTTAACGATATCAATTTTTTTACTTGTTTGCTCTTTAATTTTAAAAAGGAATGCGTCATACTTGGTGATAATATTGTACATGAAAGTGTTAACTGCAGCCGGATGGAAGAAAACCAAAAGAGCAAACTTGAACTGGAATAAAAAAAATCTGTACCTCTGTCCTTAGCAAGAATATTCCCACACCATTCCCCAAAGCTATCATCTATCCATTACTTAAAATTCTACAGAAAAAATTTGACCACTGTCTATGAAAAGGTAGAGAATTATTATTAAAACATATAACTGGTGATATTGAAAACAATCAAGGAGTAAGTAGTTGTGACAACTGTGGGCGCTCGGGCTGGCCTGCCTGCCTTCAAACCCGGCTCCTCCGCTTCCTAGTCTGATGTGGGCAAAGTTTCTGAAATTCTCTAAGTGTTTATTTCCCCGCCTGTAGTCAATGTATAGCCTCCACTTGATAATTTAGTGACATCCCTTAACACAATGCTCTTGGTACATGTTCACTGCCATCATTATTGTTTACACCTTGCATCTTGATGTGTGGCACATTTGTGAGGTTCCTTCACAATGGTGATGTAGGACCTGATGGACAATAGAGTTATTAGATGGATTCCTGGTTGGTTGAACAGTAAATACACTCCAAAGGGGACCTGGATTTGAACCCTTCTGGAGAAAAGTGGTATATGGCCAGATTTTGCATTAGTCCATGTTCCACCTTGGTGTTTTTGTGAATTGACCAGATGAAGATACAGAAGGCATGCCCTTGACGGAAGGAAATTCCTCCTCCAAGCTGGAAGGTCACATTCTTCAATGGGGAGCACATTTAAGGAGAAGTGTGGGATGCTTGCTTTGCAGTCCTCAAACGCTGATCCAACCCTGGCAATCAATGAGAAAAGATACGGCAGCCAGATCAGCCTCAAATTTTAAAATAAAATATGTTCAACCAAACTGCAGATGACACACACCAAGTTAGGGGAGACAGCAATAAAACCCACGGTGAGTCCAGATTCCGCTCCAGCTCAAAATCTGAGACGGGCGCCCGAGGACTTGCCTGCAACTCAACCAGAAGGGATGTGAAAATCCTGCTCTCGGGCTTGATAAGTCAATTCCACCCACTGGGGTCAAGAAACCTAGTTTTACCACAAACAAAATCTGAGGTTCTTAGCTGAACGACAAATTCAAGGAACCTACGTATTGTAAAACACATTGCATAATGGAAGGTTGCTTAAAATACATACGATCAGCTTCCATAAGTAAAAGTTCAGATAAACCCAAGAAATAAAGCCACTACTCCTTTCCCTAGATTGACATCCACGCTCAGATCTGAACGCCTTATTTTAAAGGAGCCGATGAGCAGCCGGATGGGTCCAGGGCGGAACAATGAGAGGAGAGCAGTGAAACCCTGCGTTCACCCGGTCACTTGACGACAAGTGTTTATTATGCCCAAGGACGTGTGGAGTCTGTGCTGGCGTATCACACAGATTTCCTCGGTTTATTTTCAGAACAATCTTATGAGATGGGATTTTTGTGTCTGTTCTACAAGTGAGAAAATACGGGCTTATTATCACTCAAAATGCTAACAAATGTGTGTCCAAGCTCTTGCAGCTAGAACGTGGCCCAGCCCCAAGTCTGACTCCAAAATCCAGTTACTTCCATTGTGCAGAGTATTCCCAGCCAACGAGGATGGCGGCAGGAAACTGGGAAGAGGACACGGGGGAACCGAGAGTCACACGGACTTTCTCCAAAATTCCCAGGCGCCTTCTGTGTAGCTCCAAGAGAAAGAACCAGAAGAACTATGAAGCAGAAATAAAAGAAGACAAATTTGGGAGCAATATGAGCAAACACAGCGACTCGTCCCCAAGCAGGCAGTGCCCGTCACGGGAGGGGCGGGAGCAGAAGTGGCCACTCGCCCAAGTTGTCATAGATGTGACCCTGTCTTACATGCAACTCTAGGCTGTATGACTTCCCAGATCCCCTCCCACTCTCCTGGTTTGTCCCAGATGTCACAGACTACGAGGGACAGTGTCTCTTTCACCTTCGCATGGCCAGCACACGGCCTAGAACCTAAGAGGTGTGCCATCGAGCCTTTGCAATGAGTGAATGAGTTGGATGATTGGAAATGTGACTTTGTTATCCATGGGGACTGTTCACGTACTGGGAAAGGAAGCAATTTTTTGTACAATATTATTTTACAGATTTTTAAAAAAGCAATAGTCATAACAGCATTTTCTTTTAAAAGCTATGTTTTTCCATTTAACCACGTTCTTTTGCCTGAAATTCTATTAGAAAATGCCCCTTTGAGTCAACCTTCCTCGCATTGTGTTACAATACACGTTGGTACCACTGTAAGTTTTCCCTCTTGATGAGTTCTTGGAAAGAACCAACGAGACTTTCACAGGGACGGTCCCCAAGACGGACGGATCAGCCGGCGCCCCCGCAGGAGGAAGACCCAGCATTCTGAGGCACAGAGAAGTGGACGAGGCCCTCTTCATGTGTTTAGTTTGGGGTCCTGAAAAGACAAGAAAGAAATGATGCCCAGATGGGGGCCAGGAGCTGGGCCTGAGGCAAATTCCTCCCCCTGACAATTCTGCTTTCTCTCCAGCCGTCTCTCCTTGCCTGGCCCCACATCCTGGACACACAGAGCCTTCCACAGTCCTCCCCAGTCCTTCATTTCTTTGTCGCCTGCGTATTTCTGACTCCTCCAAGAGAAGAAGGAATGCTTCATAGAGGGCCACTGAGGAAGGCGGAGAGGGCCGATTTGGGGTGAGGGGGTCAGGGGGAGCAGGGGAGGGCTGCTTCCACTTTGCACGAACATCTGGCCCTGACTTTTCTCAAGAGACCAGCGGCCTGGGGTTCAGCAGTTCAGGTCCCGGGTGCGGACATGGCACCGCTTGGCAAAAGCCATGCTGTGGTAGGCGTCCCACGTATAAAATAGAGGAAGATGGGCACGGATGTTAGCTCAGGGGCAGTCTTCCTCAGCAAAAAGAGGAGGATTGGCAACAGTTAGCTCAGGGCTAATCTTCCTCAAGAAAATAAATAAATAAAAATAAAGAGACCCTGGGGGAGGTGGCACAGCCCCTCCCATCATAGAACACATTGTCATGGGACGTATTCCATAACCATCAGAGGAAAGAGTCCTAAGATCCGAAAATGGAGAGCTTGGACAGTAAGTGGCTGCTCATTCCCCAGACCTGGATTTCAACGGTAGATGCGTCCAGTACTTACAACGAGCAGAGGTGACACTGCTAAGATTGCTAGGACAGAAGGAAAACTCGGGCATCGCAGGAAGGCTGCAGAGAGACCATCAGCATCTGAGCATCAAGACGAGTGGATGGCATTTCCTGAAAACAAAGGGTGAGTGGCACAGGTGGAGTGCCTGCATACAGCAAAACTCGTCTAGCTTTCACACACGCATTGAGAGCCTGCTGCTTCCTAGGTCTGCTCTCCTGTAGGCGGTAAGAGAGGCCCCGCCCTCCCGCACCCAGGGGAGACGGCGGTGGACGTGCTTTCCCCGAGCGTGATAAATGCTGTGACAGAGATGCTGTGGGATCACTGAGAAGAGACAGCCTGAAGCTGGGGTGGTGCGGGAAGACGGGAGAAAGGATAATGCTCCACCATGGGAGATAACGTCTCAGGTGGAAACAGATCACTCTAACAGCAGCTACTGGTGTTGAGGGCTTCCTAAGTGTGAGTCCAGAGAGACTAACCCACCTCCCTAAAGTCTCACATCTAAGAAGTGGAGACTTGACCTGGAAACCAGGCCAAAGTCGAGCCTCCTGCCCCCGTGCTGCCCCCAGCCAGGCGCAGACAGGGCGGGATGGAGCCCCCTCGCCACTCCCACCCACGGGGTCTTGCTTGTTCTCAGGGTGCTGGGTGCACTTCAGACGGGAGGGAAGTCGAGCTGCTTGGAGGTGGAAATGTGGTGTCTGGGAAGGGATGACGGTTAATGCGGCCCTGTCTGAAGGATGCGGAGAAGACCAACACAGACTCTCCGAGATCCCAGCATCATTGGCCGAGGGGATAAAGGAGCTGGGCTCAGCAGGATCCCGACTGAAGAAACGACCCTGGAGGGAGTACCAGGTGTGGGACTCAGGTTTGGTTCAGGCCACAGCAACACCCAGGGAAGTCCCATTGGGAGTGGGTACCACAATAACACCCAAACCACAGGAAACACTGGGGAGGTGATGCTGAGGGACCAGCGACTTTTCTATAAAGAGCTCAGGAAAAGAACAAGCCCGATAGCTCGCGGTAGAGAAGTACTGCGGCCCCCCATACCTGGACGGGCTTCAAGCAGCAGGACCGCATATCAGGGGTGGGGACGGGGCAAGCTGGGGGCCCGCAGGGCAATGACCCACAGAGCTGGAGCTTCTTGTACGTGTCTGCTGCCTAGACGAGGGTTTGGGGAACTCTGGGGCTGAGCCTGCAGGAGAAGAAATTCGTGACTCCAGCCAGAGGGGACGGTGACAGTAGGACTCACTGAGGCATCCATGCTCCCACAAAATTAATGACTCAGTCCCAGGACAAAAAAGAGGGACCTAGGAGAAACCTGATGAGTATTTATTAATTTAATGTAATTTGAAAAGGCACATTTGTGCGGCCCTTTCTACAACAACCCTGATAAATAGGTGAAGAATTTTGCTCTACAAGATGTCCCCTCTCTGTTTCTTTACATAACTTTCCAAGCATCACTGAGCATCTGCTGTAGCCTGTTAATTACCCATCAAAGGAATCGGGCAAGAGCTTTTTAATGTGCTGGTAGCTGATGTTTGAAAATCAATCAGAAATTAGGGTAGGATTTCCTTCTCTGAGATGGTGGCATAAGTCGATAAAGAAATGGGTTTAGAGTTGGAAGACTCCATTTTCAGGCAACTTTTATGAGGGCAACATTTCCAGGAAGTCAAAACTTGAGTCATAAAATGGCATCTAAAACTAGAAAATTCCCAGCTGAGGCCTCCAGTTCCAACGGACTCTCCACGCATCTTCTCAGACAGGCACAGTTGGCAAGGTCGTTTGGAGAGGCAGCAAATGACCACAGAAGGAGCAGGAAAGCACCAAGTAACCTCTGCTACAGCGGAAAATCTCTCCAGGCTACAGAGTGCTTTAACCCCCCCGTCCCACCCCAGGGGCCAGAGTCACCAGAGCCCTCCCCGCCAACGGAAGGAGTTCCCACAGGAAACCCTCCAACAGCTCTGGATGCCCTGGGCCGGGCCCCGAGTGTGGTGTGGACCCCGTGCTTTGCCTGCTGAGCCCCAGGGCGGCGGGTTTGCCGTGTGGGTCTTAGGTGGGACACTCCTGCCTCGGCTGCCATCCGACCCTGGCCGCCTCCCATCAGTGTCCTCAGGGCAAAGCATGAGCAAAGAAGGGGGTCCCTGTGGGTGCTCTTCCTCTCCCGCCCACCTAGCCCCCTGCCTCCATCCTTACTTCCCACACTGAATTAGGGTCGGCTCTGGATCAGGCCATCAACCAGGCCAGCGACCCACTCGTGGTCAGAGTCCCTATCACAGCGGGCACTATGCTCGACAGAGATGAAATCAGGGACTCCATGTGGAATTTTATTTTATCTCATTTTTAATAAGAATTGTACATACTTAAGGTGTACAATATGATGATCTGATATAATATACATAGTGCAAGGATCACATTTCATCTCCTCACATAGTTGCCTTGTGTGCGTCATCTACTCTCTCAGCAAATCTCCCGTATTCAGTGCCGCTCCTTAAGTACAGTCCTCGTGCTGTGCACTGGGTCTCTGGCCTTACTCATCCCCCGTAACCACCGCTCTGTGCCCTTTGGCCAGCATCTCTCTGCTTCCCCCAACCCCACCCTGGGAACCGCCACTCTGTTCTCCGCTTCTGTGTATTTGACTTTGTAGATTCCACATGTAACAGAGATCATGGAGTTTTTTCTTTCTGTGTCTGGCTTGTTTTATGTAGTATAACGTCCTCCAGCTTCATGCATGTGGCCACAAATGGCTGGATCCCTTTTTAAAGACTGAATAATATTTCACACACTCTGTCATTTTTAATTTCTAGCCTTTTAGTGTGGCAAACCCTGTTTTACTTTCAATTAAACACTGGTAATTTGGAGTATCTGGCAGTAGTTAGGAAATAATTCTGTAAATGAGTTTTGAATTCACTATATATGGCTCATTCCTCATCTGTAATGTGCCCCCAAAAGCACCTTCATTTCCCAGATACTGTGATGCACAATAAAGTTTTCATCATTAGGTGCAGACAGATAGATAGACAGACAGATGTATATATATCTCACAATTTATCTGTTCATCTGTTGACAGGCACTTACGTTGCTTCCATGTCTTGGCTGTTGTGACAGTGCTGCAATGATCATGGGGGTACAGAGATCTCTTCAAGGTACTGACTTCGCTTCCTTTGGGTATATACCCAGAGGAAAAATTTCTGGATCACATGGTAGTTCTGCGTTGAGGTTTTTGAGGAACCTCCATGCTGTTTTCTGTAGTAGCTGCACCCATTTACATTCCCTCCAACAGCGCACGAGGGCTCCCTTTTCTCCACGCTCTCGCCAACACTTGTTGTCTCTTGTCTGTTTGATAAAAGCCATCCCAACAGGTGTGAGGTGATGTCTCATTGTGGTCTGGATTTCCATTTCCCTCATGTTTATGTCCAAGAAGGTAATTATGAATGCAAAGCAGCCTTATCCTAGCGAATATCCAGACCACGGATGCTGAGAGTCGAGAAGAAAAGAGTGGGGACTGAGGACACTGGGGGAGAAGTCCAAGGGCTGGGGAGGAGTGACGCCTCAAAGGATGGGCAGAATGGCAGCATCACAGAGGCGGGCTGAGGCCAAGCATCATGAAGAGAGGGAAGGAAACCAAAGCACAGACGCAGAAAAGCAACGGCATCTCGAGCACTAGTCACAGGGGTCTGCTGGGCTCTTGGGTCCTCCTCTGACTGTGTCCTGTGCATTTTCAGAGATGGTAGCTATGCTAGTCTCAAAACTTGAGAATTACTCACTAGAGCAAAGTTTCATGTCCTGGAAGTCCAGCTGCCACATCGTGGGACAAGTGCTGTTGAACAGAGAAACGACCCAGGATGAGTGGCGGCCAGAGGAAGAAGAGTCTCTGACAGTCCATGAAGTGGTCAGATGGCACCAAAGAGCTGAGAGTCGATGCCCCACCTGCACACACGTTCTGAACCATAATCACTGCAAGCCAGTCTAGCGTGCCTTGAGCCTCGGGGAACACGGGGTCCGAGGGCCACTGGGTCAGGTAATCACACGGTCGCTTCATTGCTTGACTGGGTTGGTTGTATTTCTTAGATTTCTGCAAGAGAAGCGTCATAACCAGCTGCAGAGACGTCAAAAGCCCTCAGAAAAAGGATCCGTCACGGGAATTATTGTCAGGCCACCATTTTTATTGCCTGGTAAGAAGCACAAACACTGCTGAGAACGTAAGAGCTTCTGGGAGCTTCCCACGTCATCCTAGGGGCCACGGCCCACGGCCCACGAAGGCTTGGGAGCAGTTCTGCCTCCTGAGCGCAAGGTGGAAAATGTTGGACTTCAGGTCCAGTTTGGGATTCTATGCGTCATTCTGCACCATTAGCCCTAAACTTTAACATTGGTTTTTCTAAACAGACAGACAGAAGCACACACAGAAGTCCAGCTGTTGTTGTCATTGCTGATGTTGTCCTTGTCGTTTTGGTTTATTTGTATTTCTCTTAGCTCAAAGGCAGATGTCGATTTTGGTGGAAAAATAAAGTTTGACCACATGTAGGAAGCACAAGCCATTATTCCAATTACATTATTTTAATGAGAAATTCTATTTTTGTTAATTAAAATATGTGGAAATCTAGAAAGGACATTTCTAAATATCACCATGGCTAATTTCCGATCAATAGCAGGCCTTTTGGCAAGAACTTGTTGTTAGCTATTAAGGAAATGAGGTCGGGGTAAGAGGTGGCATTTCAAGGTACTCTGTACTGGCGACAAAGTGATGAAGAAAAGGCCCAGTCCTCAGGCACAAATTCCTGAACCGAATTTCAGTATCTCCCGGATTTCTTCCTTCCACCAGGAGCAGGGTCCTCCTCCAGCGACTACTGATCTTGAGAAAATCCTGCCACAGGCCCCCTCAAGTGTTAGACCCTCTGCTGCAGGGGCCCTCCGGCCCCAGTCTCCAACTCTCTCCTCCATTTTCAGACCCTCCTTCCGACCCTCGGACCCAGATGTGCTTCCTGATCCTTCTCTGCTACCTGGCCTTCTTGGTGACAGATCTGGCCTCCTTCAGACAGCGTTGACCTCTCCTGGCCGTTGCTCCTTGCCTGAGGCCAGCCTCCGGGAGATGCACCACCTTCAGTGGGAACCACTGCCCCACACCCAACACAAAGGCCAGTTGCCCTGATTGGCACCTAAACTAGCCAGACGTGCCTCAGCTGTTCGCAAACAACTTCTGTTTGTGGATGTCTTTTGCATTCATAGTTTTTCTCCCTTTCTTTGAACCAGCTCGGGCATTATTAAGAGGTTTTTAAATAATATGCTAGTATAGTAGGGAAAAAGCAACAAGCAAAACTGTTCCCAGTGGCAGTCCCAAAATATTGTTCCACTGACCTACCTCTCCTGCTCCAGTTTGCCACCCCAAAAGAGAGCTCATAAAAGGAAAGTAGAACCCAGATCCCTTTGTATCAGACATCAAACAGGCACTGTCATTTTTTTCTCGAATTTGCATGACTATATTATTAATTAATTAAGCACTCCACAAATATTTTAATTAAGTGCCTTCTCTGTTGCCAGGTATTATTCTATGCATCTCATCCCAGAAGCCAGGAAGGGACTGGGAAAATCCCTTACCAGGGTAATCGTTGCTAATAGCGAGTCATTCCCGGGAATGTGTGAGCTCCTTGGGGAGGCGCATTAATACCTTCTGTTGCGTTACTATTTAAGGAACCCCATCAGGAAGGATCTGGTTTCAAGTCTGCGGTCCTCAGTGACGGGGAGGAGAGGAAGCAGCCGGCAGCAGAGAAGGGCTGGTGAGGAAGATCAACCTGCAGTCTCTCCCCGAGGCCGCTTTGTTGTCACCGGCTGCGTGGGATCCCAGGTTCTCCAGGAATCCGTCTCGTGCAGTCTGAGAAGCAGCCTCCCATTGCCCACACCTGGGGCAGGACCCTCGAGGACACAGGGCCAGGCCAGGGCTTCTCCCAAGGGCGCTTCCGAAGACCCCAGGGAATCTGCTCTGAGCTCGAAGCCAGGCAGCAGGCTTCCCACCGCGCCACCCGCTCCCCGTGCGCTGCTGGGCAGCCATTTAGCCCTCCCTTCCCCTCCGTTTCCTTGCTGAAAAATTAGGGTAAAAATGCCTGTCCTGGGATTGTCGTGAGACGCGAGTTAGATGATAGCAGTGAAAGTGCTTTTGTGAACCTAGAAGCACCACCCGGGTGGAAGGCGCCAGAACCACTGTCAAGCCATTCTGGGCGCTGGAGGCTGCAATGATGTTGGGAAGCGGCCCCAGCCTGGAGCCACAGATCGTAATTTCCCAGTGGGACCAGGGAGTGGGATAAGGGAGAAGACGCAGAATTCCAGAAATGCCCCCAGGAAGCTGGTGCGGTTCAGGAAAGGCCGTGGGTGGCAGGATTCAAGACTTGGACGTAGCTGAGCTGAGAGATTTCAAGCCTGCCTGGCCACGGAGATAGGGTGGGGCCCAGGTTTGGGATCACGTGTGTTGGAATCATTGTTGGACAAGAATATCAATTTCTTCATTAACAGAAAAACTACTGAATGCATGATAGATTGTGAAGATTAAATGGGATTATCAACATACCTGAGCATAGTGTACCCAGTAGGTACTTGGTAACTGGTGGCTTTTTCCCCTCACACCACTCCCTGGGGGCCGTGTGCAGACATGAAATTAGGTATTTTATAATTTCGTTCTCCAAAGAACGAGGGTCTGCTGACCACTGGCAGGACATTTCCCACAGAACTGCACGATTACACACTTGAACGGCTGCTTTCGTGCAAATTCAGTGTAGACCAATGAAATACACCACACTCAGGCCACTTCTCCAAACTTGTCACCGGCCACCTCAGGCTCCTGTAGCAGCAGCAAAGTCACTCACAAACATGGTTCCCAGGGTCACCAGCTCCGAGTCAGTACTGGCATCTTTTCTGCTGTGTTCTCAGATGTGGAATTTACGAGCAGCTGAGCCAGAAGCAGCCGTGCACAGTACCGTCCAGGCCGACTCGCCTTCTGATGCAGGAGGAAACTGGGGCGCCGTCTGAGAAGACCAGACCCCCCGTGGCTCCTCCCTGGGCACATCAACGCGCATGTCAGGACGTCAGGTTCCTTCCTGGAAGAAGATTGATGGAGACGGATGACAGCTTCATGTCTGCTTCACGTCTGACACCCACCTTGTCTTTCCAACCCTCTTCCTATGACGTGTCGGCAGCGTCTGCACATGAGGCCTCCTCAACCCCACACGTGAACGTCTCTTCCCAGCAGGGTCTGCTTCCTCTCATGGTCCCCCTTCCCACTCCACCTGACTGTCCACACCCCAGGCCGGCTCCAGGCCCATCCCTGGACTTGGGGTTGCTGCTCTGGGTGGATGTCTTTCACCTTCTTAGTGTGAGGACCACACTGATTCTCACCTCTCCCTCCCAGCTTCTCGAGGAGTCCTGGGCGCACAGGTGATGCTCATTACACAAACGCTTGACTAAATAGAGTTCATCCCCTGTCTACACTGGCATTTGTCTCTCAACTTTCCACACCAGTTTCAATCCAGGCTTGCACCCTGAAAGTGACGACAGCATGCAATGATAGTGACATTGGGGACATTAGCTGAGTGTCACCACCCTGCCAGCCCTGGGCTAGCAGTTTTATACACTAACCAATTAAGGCTTCACAACTAACTCCGTGAGGTGGGTATTTTTTGCAAATCGCAGATGAGAAAACTGAAGCACAGAGAGACTAAGAAACGTGCCTACGGCCCCGCAGCTGATGGTGGCAGAGCCGGGACTAACACAGCCCCGACGCCAGCGCCTGGTCCACGGATGCATCTCCTGTCAGGTATCTAACCAACAGCAAAGGAGGCCAAACTCAGCCTGCACTTCTGCTGACTCTGGGGAGCGCGGCTGGTGGCAGAGCAGGTGGGGAACATGTTTATTGGGAACAGGAGGCACTGGGAGGAGAGGAGGCGGTGGGTCTGGCTCTTCCCCCTCAACAGCCGAGTGGAAGACATTTGATCTCTCTGGGCTTCAGCGCCTCGTCTGTGAAACGAGAAGTGCGGACAAGAGTAACCGCCGAGGACTAGGTGGTGTCCTGCATCTCCTGAAACCGCAGGTGTGGACAACCGAGTACCCCTCCGCGCTCTCCGCTAAGGACCTGACATCCGTTGGGCTGAGCAAAGAAACTGAGGTTGGAATGACAAATATAGTATTTGTTCCCAGAGAAGGAAGCCATGGAAGCAGGCCACTGCCATCTCACTGATGCAGGGACGCAGGACAATCGCGGCACCCAAATCGAGACAGGACTGGTGGGGCCGGGAGGGCAGCACAGGCCGCTTCCCTCCCAGGACGCCATCTCCTCCTCACTCCCGTGAGTGGCCCCTTCTTGCCTGCCTCTGAAGGCGTCCCTTTCAGGGCACGAGCCACCTGGAGGAAGCACGGGAAGAATGAGAGTGCCGATGCAACGCAGTCCAGCATTTCCTGGAGCTTTTATTCCAAGGGACGAATTGCCCCCGAGCCACTGACTGCAATGGCACCAGGGCATACTACACACTTGGCTTAGGAGGCACAGCAGAAATTTCTTCCAGCTTTGCTCCCAGCACTGACTGTGGCAACACTCCTAGTTACACCTGTGTGAGGACAAGGTCACCAGAGGAGAGAGGGCACAGCCGCAGGCCCTTCGCCAGACCCCTCGCCCGATCTATCAGTTCTCGGTTCAGGCACAGAGTGTCGGAGCCGGAAGGGCCGCTGGAGACATGTGGTCGCGTTTCTTCACTTTACAGAGAAAGACGAGACCAGGAGCGGTTTGAGTATTGGCCCAAGGTCACGTGTCAATTAGCAGGAAGGTCTGCACGACCACCGAAGCCCCTAATTCTTATTTCTGTGCTCCTGTGGCTTTCTGTGGTCTCTGGCTGCTGCACCCCTGGGAGGGACGCGAGCCGCATTTTACAAAAGGAGAAATGAATTCGTGAGCACAATAAAAATAAACACATAAAGTGATTCCCAAGTTTGACATTACCGGTAACTTCAAAGTACAGAATGTGTCCACTGATACCAAGAAAACTAAGGAATACGGATGCACGCTGTGAACACAGCAACCCAAACACACGACTCTAAGTGGGCCCCGATTAAAGAGCTTAACCACCTATGACAGCTCCACCAATTGGTAATATTAGATTAACTAAGCAAGGAGGCCATCAGATGAGGAGGCTGTAATGCCGTGGTGACGGTCGTGAGCAAGTCAAAATCCAAGCCCGTAAATGCCTCCAGGTCGTGAAACTGAAACCCAAGGATGACCCGTCACAACAGCCAACTAGACTTTAAGGAACAGCCAGTCAATGGTTTCCTGGCTTCGCTCTGCCTCTTCCCTGCAGAGGTCTCTCCCCAGCTCCTGTCAGTGGATTGCTCCTTCCTAACCACTTCCGGTTTGGCGCTGCCCAATGCAAATTGATTTTGGCTCAAACTCTTAAAATTTTTAATATCCCTCAGTTTATCTTTCAATAGCCATTTACTATATTCATGGAAATTCAACCAGCACTGACACCACCATCTGCTATCCAGCAACATGTTACAATGGGAATATAATCGCGGGAAAAAAAATACTTTTCTGCCATCCAGGAGCCTGTGCTTCTAATAGAGACAACAAGATGGAGATGGAGAGCAGGCATGCTGTGGTTAGATGCTCACATCAATGGCATGAGTATCAAAGTAGGTGGCCAGTCGGAAGAGGATGCATGGGTGCTGGCTGGCCTTGGGCAGATCCGACAACCTCCCCAGGCCTCAGCTCCTTCATCTGTAATATTAGGGAATTTTACCTCCTTAATAACGTCACTCCTGGGTCTTAGATTCTCTTATCTTGCTGATCTCATGATCTCAGGGAAGACTTCATTGATGGTGGGCCTTAGGAGTTGAACAGAAGGAGAAAAGGACACAACCACCTCTGTAAAACCGCAGGCTTTGAACTCATTTTTCCAATGTCAGGCATATTTTTCCCTCTAAACAATTTAAGAAAATCTCCAAAAATATTATTTTTTTCTTTAAAAACGCTTCCTCTCAATCTTCAATCTTTCACTAGGAGTGTCCGTCCGTCACTCGGGAAGCCTCAGGCGGAGGTGAGAGGGTGTCGGAAGGGCAACACGAGTTAGGGAATGATTTCAATTGCCAAACTCAGTTCTGTCCTCTGCAGTGCAATTTTCTGTTGTAATTCATCAGTTAGGCAAAGATTGGCTCAGCTCCTGGAAAAACAATCCCATCTCTATAAGAGACGCTGCCAAGAGGTGAACATCTTAAAGAGAAAAATCATAAAGCATTAAGGATGGAGACAGTATCTGAGGGAAGGTGACTCCTCTTTTCTCGGGATTATACTTCACAGAGAATCATTACTGTTCCCCCTGCCAAAGGCTTAAAAACTCATCTCTGCTTTCACTTTTACAGCAATTATTAATCTACTACCACTCAAGTTTCCATCCTTCCTAAACCACCAAGAGTTTAACCTGCATATCCCCTAAATCAATTATGGATACACTGGAACAATTTCAGAAGTGCATACACAATACAGACTGTTAAACATCTGCAAAGTAATTAAACACGATTGGGCAGGGATTGCGTTAGCCCAATGTTCTTGATAAGCTGGGCAGCCTTGCTCACTGCTGCCCCTTGGCAAACCCTCCAAGGGTGTCAATCAATTAATAGAAAGTCAGTTATTGCACTTACTCTCTACCCAGCCTTATTTTAGGTGTTGTTTAGAATACACTTGAAAAGATACTCGAGGAGTTTATCATGTTGATGAGTCAAGACATTCAAATGAGAAGAATTTGGAGATCAATGTCCTAAATAGGAATTCTGAAAAAGACGAGATCAGGATTCGGCTGAAGCAGTTGAAAAGACTTAGAGGGAAAAAAAAAATGAATGAGACTTAAGCTGATCCTTGGAAGAGAGGAAATGTGCAGCACTTAAGAGAAAGCAGGGCCCTTCCAGGTGACGGAAGGCAGAGGGAGGACAGGCAGAGGAGTCGGAGTGAGCAGCGTGTCAGAGAAGGGCTGCAAGGGGGCTCACCTGCTTGGAGCTGAGCTCCTCATGCAGAGTGTGGGTATACTTAGCGACTGATGACCTCAGATACTTGTGAGACCCTGTGTATGCCCTGTTCAAAGGGATAGAAATGATGTAAGACATCACTCCAGCTCTCAATGAATCAAGATGATATTGTGTGTATATACATATATCTCCCATCTTCTTTATCCTTTCATCTGTTGATGGACACAAGTCATTTCTATGTACTGGCTATTGGGAATAGTGCTGCAATGCACATGGGAGTGCCAGTTTCTCTTTGATACCCTGTTTTCATTTCCTTTGGACCTATACCCAGAAATGGATTGCTAGATCACATGGTAGTTTTACTCAGCTCTTTCCTGAATTATGGCAACCTATAGTTGATTGTTACCTGCTGTTAAACCTCTTTTTTATGAGCTCTTATATTTTGTGTTTGTGCTCTTGTTTTATTGAGGTAAACTGCTGTATTGCTTTTAAAAATTCATGGTGATATATTCAGTCACTATTGTTGTTTACCTCTGGGCAATATTTTTCAAATAGGAGCTTCCATTTGCCATTTTTCACCCTGTTAATTTAATCCATTTCCCTTTGGTATTTTTAAATAGACATTTTAAATTATAATTTATCATTGAATGAGGGGATTTCTTCCTATAAGCCATTTGATGAAGCCACATGTGGTGGAATATCCAAGGTCATATTCCAAGCAAATGGAATTCTCTTTGTGCCCAGGGTTATCTGTAGGATTAAATTCATTTAGATTTACTTTGCTCCAGCCAATCCAGGCAGTGGTGCAGGGCTGCTCCTGTGCAGAGTTTCTCCCCACCCTGCCTCACCAACACACTGAGATAGATAGATGGATAGATGGATTTTACAAATACAGCTTACTGCACGATTCCTCAGTTTAAACACGCTGTCTCTGTTTCCTGAGAATTCATATCATGCTGCACCCAGGGAACTCCTGCTGCCAGCCCAATCATCTTCTTCTCTGGTTCCAAACAAATGATTGTTGGCTTTCCCCATGGCAGGGGTCCCCTTCTCCCTCTGCCCGTGCGTCCTGACATCTGCAGCTGTGTGTGCCCTCTCGGAACCTCTTCTTGGGCCTCCCTTTGACCTTCTCTCCCCTTGGCAGCCTTCTCTCATAGATTGTGTTTCAGGCTTACAGACGTCTCCCAATTTTGTTGTAAAGGTGGTGTTTTGCATTTTAATTCTCATTCTCCTTGCTGCTTTGGGGTGATTTTTAAGAGGGTAAGATGGAAAATGCCATCTTTGCAGAGCTAATTCTAAACTGGAATTGCTCAACAAATTCTGAGTGAAATTTTAAATGCAAAGAGGAAAGGGTCACAGGAAGACGTCCAGAGGTCAGAGCCATGACTGCCTTCCGAAGGCACACGCGGAGGCTGGGCCCGTGCAGGCCGGAGGACACCTGTGCGCAATTTAGGAAAAGGCTTCTCTCCCGCGGGACCAGCGTGTCGGGCCCAGCAGCTCTGTGGAGATCGAGCGCAGCCGCTCAGGGGCTTACAAGTGTGCTGCGATGACCACATGTGGGGAAACTGAACCCTGTGCTCTTGCAAGGACAAGGGGCTGAGGTTCTTTCCAGCCCACGACAATCGGGGACATGGCTCCTCAGCTCCTGTCATCAGAGGCCACGACGGCCGGCACCCGTGCTGTCAACGATCCTTTGCCTTTTATTCTTCTCACTTTTTTGCAAAGCCCCTTTTATAAATAAATTACAGCCTCTCTCAGCTTTCTCAGAGTAACATAAAATACTTTCTGCTTCATTTGTCTGCATTCAGGCCGGGTAGAAGAGGATGAAGAGCAGAGAACGGCTGGATTCAGGAATAAACATCAAATAATTCAAAGATGTGTTCGTGCGTGTGCATGTGTGTGTATCCGCGTGTCTGTGTTGTGTGCGTCCATGTGTGAATGTCTGTGTATATGTGCGTGTGCGCGTGTGTGTGTCCGCGTGTCTGTGTTGTGTGCGTCTGTGTGTGCATGTCTGTGTATCTGTGTGTGTCCGCGTGTCCATGTGTGGTAGATGACGGTAGCGTCTCTGCCCGTGCCTGTAGTCGCCGCCTCTGATGGATGCTCTCTCCCGGCCCTCCACTTTGCTCAGCAGGACGACTGTGATTAGAACTCCGGTGGTTCAGAGAACAAGAAGGTAGATTCGGATAAACAAAGCTGGGAGGAACAGAGTTGCAGGAGACAGCGGGAATGAAGGGGTTTGGGACGAGAGGGGGAAGAGTCTAGAATGTCAAGGTGAAGAGAAAACACCCCAAATCTTAAAGACTTTCAAGAGTTCACCCGTTTCTTACCACTCATCCAATTCTCTCTGTATTGCCTCAGCATTCTCCATTTAGAGAAGAGTAAACTGAGGCAACGAATCTGCCGAGTCACGTAGTTGTCCCTCCCAGGGCTGAGGAAGGAGGCCCCGTGCCCTGGGGTCACCATGCTCGTCTGAACTCCACAAGCCGTATGATCCTGATGCATAATTAATAGCGGGAAATGTACAACTGCATTTTCTGTCGTTTCTGCTTCCCGGGGGCGTCAACAATGAACTCACCTCGCCCTCCAGCTTTACCTTCAGGTCAAACCGAGGCTGGATGTCAGCGCTGCAGGGAAAGACTTCCTGGACAAGGGGACACCTTGCAAGAGCCAAATATTCTCCGATCGAGCACAGTTCTTGTGAACATCGCTACAAAGCAGGACCGAGAATCGGTGAGCGTCTGACGGGGGCAATCACAGGTCGGCATCACTGGGTCACTCATCCCCAGTGGCCGACCGTCCTTAGCAAGTCAGGGCATTCTGAGCGCCCTGGGTTTTCTTTCAGCAAGTGCCAGTACCTTCCCCGGATCCCAAGCTACTTACTATGCTTTCAGCTGATGACAGAACATGCTTCATTTCTAATGTTTCATAGAAGGCATTCTTTGAAGTCAATTTGTTACATGACAGCACTACAAAGAAGGAAAATAATAAGTATATGCTATTTACTTCTACACTCTAGTTATTCAATAAGAGAGAAAAACGCCAATTGACTCCATCACTCATACAAAATTCCATACGCTCAGTCTCTCGGGGGACCTGAGTTGTTGTTTCAGTGGAAATTACAGCCAGGGTGATTCGCTTGGAAGTAGTTTTTCATCTGTTTGTTGTTGGTTTACTTACCACGGGAAAAGCGACATGGGCAAGCCATCAGTGAGCATAACTGTACCATATTCTTCAAAGGTTCTGAACCCAGAGTCCAGAACGCTGCGTCTGAGATCCAGATGTGCTGGTGGGTGGCTGGGTGACCTTTGCTAAGTAGTGTCACCTCTTGGGGCCTCCGTGTCTTCACCTGAAGAAGAGTGGACTGCACTCACTCATGTAACACCCCACAAATGCAAATGAAGGGTCCAGGACGTGCTGGGCCCTGCGCCCCCTCCTGGGGGAGGAAGTGGTGGGTCATCAGCCCCCGTGGCCCCCGCCCTTGGGGACTCCGAGTGCGGGGAAGGAGGCCGATGGGGAAGAGGAGACACATTTCACACTAGCAGGGTCCCAGGACGCCTCCTAAAAATCCCCGACTTCTGAGCACTGATCGCAGAGGCTCTATGTCGTCCTGGAGGCAGGACCAGGTTCCCCCAGGAACGGAACCAAAACTGTGAGGAGCGACTGCTTGTATCCCGTCTTCCTGGAGTAAAACTGAAAGCCCGAGAAACACTCCGCTTACCATTAATCAATATCAGGAGAACGGTGGCTTTTTCCCCCTAAGACACAGAATTTAACTACCTGCAGATTTTTAAAAACCAACTAGCCCATCCCCACTCTCGTCTTACAATAAGTGGCTGGCGTTTAGGTTGCACAGTTGAGTTTTTGACATAAATTATTTGAGCCCGTATGTACCTCCTCTTGGTTGATTCAAGAAATTACAAATGTCCTAATACTCAGTGACAGAACTTGACATATCAAAGGATTCATAGGAACATCAACAAAAAATAAATCACCATTTCACTGCCCCTCCCCAAAACTAAATTCCTCGTTTTACAAAGACCATATAATCCTTTCATTTTCAAACAAATACCACTGCCTCACTGTTATTCTAGCATAAGCTAGCATAAATCTTACAACAGGCAGCACGTTCAATGCGCTTTTAATAGCCTGCTAGAAGGGCTCCTACGTGACATCACCCCACACCGAATTTGAGGGGATTACCTGTGTCAGCCCGGCCAGGCGGTGGCAATGGCAGCACAAAAGATCTGCCTGAGAACTTGCCACAGGAAACTATGCGCTGTATTTTCGTGCCTCGTAAAAGGAGGGGAAAAAACAGCTATTAAATTAATTGGCACTAAAAGCATGTAATAGTTATCTAATCTATTAATTTTTAGTTTAATATTAACTCCAGTGTCTGCTATGACACGCATTTGACCTGCACAAGGAGCCAGGTCACCAGCTCCGTCTTTGAAGGGAGACGAGTGGCTGGGGGAGGCGGGGGGACGGGATTCTTTCCCTTTGACCTTGTATTCGAAGACTGTGTTTGCTTTGAGACAAGTATTGACTTTATGTGGGGCCGGCCTCGTCGAGCCTGACGTAGCTTGTTCCTCCGTAAATTTTAAAGGACCGCAGGTTGAAGAGGTAGCTTTTAACTCTCAGACATTTGAAAAAGTTCAGGTGATACCATCTTTCTTCAAAGGAGGAGAAAGGATTCGATCCTAAGGTAAGAAGAGAGGGCGCGCGGGACCGCCCAGCCACTCAACAGGGCGGGGGATGAGCCCGAGCCCCCAGGTCTTTTTTTTCCCTATGTTTCCCTAATTTTTGTTTATTTATAAGCATAGAAAAAGCACTTAAACTTTCTATCCTGCATTCCAGAAACAAGGCTGAACTCTGGAAGAAAAATCGTCGCCATAATAACTATACAGTTTGCTCGTGCTTTCAAAAGGTGCATCCCAAACAAAGTCCTAAACCCATCAACCGCCTTCAGAAGAAGAATGGTTAAAAACTAGAAAATTCTCTGGAAAACATCTGATGGTCTGAACAATGTGAAGGACTTCCTGCCAAGTGAGCTGAGGCACTTGGACGAACACAGAGCAGCCTTTCGGTTAAGGCCGCCCAAGAACTGCTTCCCACGTTCTTCACCCAACTCTGTCACTCCCTGTGGGAGCATTTTCTTACACTTTGAGTCCAGGGTCTAGGAATTTCATCATCTTGGGTTCACACCTCAGCAAAGAAAGTGGAGTATCTTCACGAAATGACACTACTATGTGGGCATCTTTGCAACAATGACGTGGCTCTCGTCACAATGTGCTCTACCTGAGACCTGCACACCGGAGTTACGACACCATCAGGATCGGAGGAGAGAGTGGACTGAGTCCAGGAAGCCCTTGCTGCCCACTCCAGGCAGAAAAGGAGGTGAATTTCTCATTCTCGGGAATAAGGCACCAGTTGACCTTCTGGACTAGGCAACAGAAGCTTCCAGAATCAACCAGCTGCTCTTCCAAACTATCTTCGAATGGCATTTTGCCTGTGTGGAGACAAGTGTGGATATTCTCTGAGAAGCCACCTATTAACGGGAGACGCCTACTAAAGGCCATTTGCCCTGAAATCAGAGGTGTTGGTGATCCCGTCCCAGTGGCACTGCCTTTGAAGGTGGTCTCTGACCAACAACTACCCTTCCATGGCTGAGGGGAGAACTCTGCGAAGAACCACGCCATCCCATGGGAGCAGCTTCCAGCTGTCCCCCACCCAGAACATCGGGGAGAGACACAGAGACCAGAACCCCGCCCCCCTGGAGCCATTCGTGTGCTTCTGATGTCCCAAGGTGCAAACTCTGAATCTACCTGTGCTCAGTGGATAGTACAGTTGAAATACATGCTATTGGTTTAAAAATATTCTTGCCAGCTGTCACTGAGATCCTACAACCATATGTGCCATTGTGTCTTTGGTAAATATATTTCAGTACTAAATGTGAGACCTACAGGTACAACTGGAGAATGGCCTCACCTGGCCGCTGCAGGCCGCAGTGCTCGCCGCAGAGACAGGGCCGCCTTGCTGACGAGGGCCGGTGCTCAGGACCCCCGGACAGCTCGGTGCCCCAGGCTCGCAGAATGTTGGAGGGGCAACTTTGCTTTGGACACCCGCTGACTCATCTTGTGGGACAGACTCCGCTGTGAAAGTCAGAACAGCTTCACACCCTCCAGCCACATTCACAGCCTCCTCCGGAAGTTCCCAGGTCTCATTCCTCAAGAGCCTGTCACAGGAGAGGGAGAAAAAGCACCAACACGTGAACTCAGGAAACGCCACCTCTGCACCCCTGGCCCAGCGCCCTCCACGGGGCCCTCCCTCCCACCATGTTTATACTCCATCTGGCATCCAGCTTCAGATTGTGTGAAAATTCCTGACACTCCACACCAGAAGCATGAAATACTGCATAAGATTAGGAGAGCTCGGAGAGGTGGCTCTGCCCACAGCTCAGTGTGCCTCCAACCTAGCGTGTGCGCTAAATCACTGTTTCCATCTTCTTAGACGATCGTATTGCTCTATGGAGTTATTTTTCCATTACACGCTTAACAATAACCAACCTTTGTTGCATGCGGAATGCCAGGCATTATGCTAAGCATTTCCATGAACTACCGCACATAACTTTATAAAAGACAATGTTATTACCCCTGCTTCTTAGACAAGGACACACTCAAGGGCAGGGAGGGTAAATGGCGCTTGGAAAGGGAAACAGCAAATAAGAGAGAGCTGGATCCCACAGCCACAACTTTCTGACCTCAGGGCCAGCCCTACGCCATCAATGGTGTTATTGGGGGTCTTGTGGCGCATGTCCCTGTGGGACTGGTGGCAGCGTGGCCAGGGAGCTTGTTCGTGGGCCCATGTTAATAAAGCTGCAGTCAGGGCCTCATGCAGCGAGGCCTGGAGCAGTGTTCTGCTTCGCGCCTGCAAGCAGACCCTGCTTCCAGCGGCGGGTGGTGGAAGGAGTCACGGATTGCTATCGGTGTACATCTCATTCTGTGTCACTGGTCACATGGTGCCCTTCCCTCTCCCAGAAGGTAAGGTCCCCCAGCCCTGCCTCTGATGCCCCAGCTGTGGGGATTTGCCTGCTCTCCTGGCTCCAATCCACAGGGTCAGTGTGGGGCTCCAAAGGGTTCTTAGAGGATTTCCTCAGGCCCCACTCCTGGCAGCCAGCCCAGCCAGGCTGCCCAACAGCAACGTCCTACATGCTGTGCTCAGAGGGGTGGGTGCTTCTTCGCTTTGCTGTGCTGGAAGCCATGTGCGCTCTTCTCCATCTGTGACCCCGTTAGGTCTCGGGGAAAGTTGAACCAGGTGATTTCTTATCTCTCATCCCAAGTAGTTCCTGTTTTTGAAGACAGGTGAGTGCTACCTCTGCCGTACCAGGGCCATGTGCTATGAATTATCTTTTCTGAAGTTAGAAGGTATATCTAGTTCTCACCATCATCTGCAAATGCCAAGGTTGCTGACAGGGCGCTGAGCAGAGAACCTGGCCCACAAACAGTTGACGCGAGGATTCTGGCCTCCTCCCCTGGGAGCGAACCGTTGAAGCTGGCTGGACCCAGCCTCACTCCAGGGAGCAGGCCTGTTTTTCCATCAAATGCTCAGGAAAATGTCTAGGTGACGTTGGAAAGCTGTAGAATAAAACCAATGTCTCAGCTTCAGTGAACCCCGATGTCTCGGGAGAGGCTGATTTTCCCTGCTATAGAACTGCGTCAGACGCCTGAGATGCATGCATCCTGCTGCTCGCCACGCCCGTGCCCGGTCACAGAGGCTCCTAGCGCTCGCATCCTCAGGCCTGCGCGCTGCTGGGGGAGGAACACACCCGGCCAAGTGCAGCTCATTTATGGGCCCAGGGCTGAGAGCAGCTGCCTTTCATCGTCTCCCTCAGATTAATTTGGACGAATGCGTCGCTTTCTTAGCAGACTGATCCCACAGACAGCAGGTGTTCATGATAATGACATCAAGCAATATTTATCAGGTGCCAAAATTTAATGGGCTTTTGCAAAATCAAAACGGTTTTGCAACTCACAGTGAAGTGTCCATTTGAGCTAGAAAGTGCACGCTCTCGTGTACGATTCTCATTTTGTTTTGGCCAAAAGAAAAGATGACTGTGAAGCGGGCGCCGCTTTGCTTGAATTCCCGTCCAATGGAGGAGCAGTGTGAGAGCCCTGACTCGCAGAGATTTCCAGGTATGTTTGGAACTCCGCAGGATGAGAGAGATCATGGCACGGGTCTCATTCCTGGCACAAAGTCCTTTGCAATGGAATGAAACACCTTTGCTAAAATGCGGGGCAAAAATTGCTTTCTTTTTCCTTAATGTGGGAGGAAATGTGAAGCGTGTTTATAGAAGCTCCGTCAGAAAAGATAATCTGTCGTTATGTACGTTATTTATTACGCCAAAGCAACACTGTGCTTAAAAAGTGACATACCTTATTAGAGAGACAGCACAAAAAAATCGTGCAATTGTTTTACAAGATGGAAAATCACAGAAACTACTTCTATTCTCTATCTTCTCTGCAAAAGAGAACTAAATTCTCTGCGGGCCGCAGAACAGGTTTATATCCGCCCTGTTCACCAAGGACAGGGCCTCCCCTGCTCCCTGAAGTCTTGTCCAAATGGTCTGGCTGGACAGTCGCTGCCACCAAAGAAAAGCTGGGCTGCGACACTTACTGGGAGGAGCTGGTTTGCAACCTGGAGGATGAGGGGTGGGAGGAACAGAGATGCTGAGAACTCTCAAGCAAATTTTTTAGCAAAAAAAGCACCTCTATAAAAGTTGCCATGCACAGAACATGTGAAAGGGGTTCGGTGTGTAGAGAGCAGAGTTTATGAATGGGGCACACCTTGTGGTCAGACACAGAAGTAAGCCTGCCATTTGGCCAGCAAGTGGCTTAACGTGTTCTCCCCGCACCTTCCCTTGTAACCTGGGATGTGTTAAATTTATCAGGCTGCAGAAGGAGCCGTGTTCATCCTCAGAGGGTTCCAGCCACCCTTCTCCAGGTCACCTCTCTGTGCCCCCAAAAGATGAAGCACTGGGCTCTAGTGGAGCCAAAGCAAGAGGGCTGCCCCCACCCCACAAGGGCTCCGCACAGACCCGCTGTCTCCTCCCCACCTCCATCCTGGGGCCGCCTCCACTCTGTCCACCCTGGATCGTGCAACCAGGTGTCTACCCTGACAGTTCTCCTAAGGGGGAGCAGCAGGGCCCTCAGTGGAGCGTGTGGTCCCACCAGGTTGGAAGAGAGGACCCATCTGTCTCCTTAGCCCCTACTGTCACCCCAATACAGGCACAGAAAAACACACTGCACTTGAGAAGAAGACCATTCCTGGTGTTTCCAGAAGTAAGCACAGCACAATAAGGCAGGACGTAAAGATGAGCCTACAGCTGAACAAAGAATAGTCAAAGGAAAAATAAGCTGAACCAGGAGTGACACTGACGCTCTCCACACACACCCTTCAGTCCCAAAGGTCTCCTAACAGGGGCCGTGCACCTGCACCTAAGTTTTTGAGAAACCGGGGTGAAAGGGCAACAATGGTCCTGATTCGTGGTATGGAAACAAATAGCACAACTGAGACAAACGAGATAGAGCGCACCTCAGCCCTTCCAGGTTCCGAGATAAGAATTCTCTCCTGCAGGCCCCCAGCCAAGGAACTGATGCCAGGGAAACAGAGAGAGTCTCGCAGCTCCGACAACAGTGACTTTCCTGGGCTGATCGCTGTAATGGCTTCAGTTGCTAAAATGCAATTCAGAAAAGAGCAATCTTTATTCCTTCAACATTGAAGACCACATCCCATGTGCCCAGCCTGTGCTAGCAGTGGATACACGCTGGAGAAGAGGAGAGCCTCGAGATGTCATAGGGCATCAGGGGAGACGGGCAGCAAATCACAGGTCAATGTCCACATGCACAGTGGAACTAGCATACGGAAGAGCATGAACAGGTATGTTGACAGAGAATGGTGCTGAGACTCAGAGCGGAGGGGCAACATGGAAAACACATCTTAAAGGATGAGAAGGAGCCACTCATGCAGGGAGGGAACGAAGCTTCTCTGAGCAAGTGGTGAGAGAGGGTCTGAGGGCTCCTAGGAGGAAGACAGCTCTCCCGGGGTGGGCCCCACCCACCCAACCACAGATCTGGACTCCATGGCAGGAATTCCTCACAGGGGTTAACGACCCACAGGGTCCAGAGAGAGAATTCCAGGGTATGTGAACTTATGGGGAAAGCACATCTTTAATTTCATGAACCTCTGCTGAACTCTAGTGTTCTTGCAGTGATGAAGTGGGCAACCACACCAGCCACCAGTGACATCACAGACAGTCTACATGATGTGACGACGGTTGTTGCTGGTCTCTCGAAATACCCTTCAGGCTCAGCACTACCTCAGGACTGCGGTGGGTCCCAAGCCTGCAACCGGGTCTTGTAATCTAATGTGTTGCTCTAAAGTAAATATATTACTATACCACCAATTTGTTTCATATTTTTACACATATCTGTTTCCTTTGAAACAACATATTTCAACTTAATTTGTTTCCCTAGAAATCCTATATATTTTGTGTTGAGAAATTTCATTCTGAGAAGAGGCTCAAAGGCTCCAAGCAGAGGTCTCTGGGAAATCAATCAGTCAATAAAAAGAATGGCAATAAAATTAAGAAGCTCTGCCCTTGAACAATTGTTCTCACCATTCTTTAGTGTAATGGATGGATGAAGTAAGAATCTTTCTGATTTATCCATTAATGCCATTTCTTGCAAATGACCTTTTGATAATAAGAGAATAGCAGTGGGTTCCAAAGCAATTCACCACAAGAAAATAGAAAAAAAAGGAGAAAACCATCTCTATAGAATTTAAAAAAATGGTAAAATTCAATATCTACTTATCATCAAAAACTTCTGGAAAACTATGAGTAGAGGAGCATGCTCTCAACCTGATGAAGGACATCTTCAGGAAATCTACATAAACATCCTACTTGAATGTAAAACCTAGACGTTTCCTCTCTGAGGTGGAGAATCTTGCCTGTCCTCACCACTTCTGTTCAACATGGCCCTGGAAGGTCTAGACACTTCAATAAGGCAAGAAAAAGAAATAAAAGGCACAAAGATTGGTATAAAAGAAAGAAAACTGTCATTATTGACAGATGATGTAACTTTATAAGTATAAAATCCAGGAGAATCTATAGATAAGTTATTAGAATTAATGAGTGAATTTAAGAAGGTTACTGGATTGTGGTCAATATATAAAAATCAATTGGATATTTTTCTCCTGGCAGCAAACAGAAATAATTTAAGAAAAAAAAGATAATGTAGCAGATGCTTGCCGTGCTCTGTGCTACATCCTATCCACCAACCTGATTTCAGCACAGCTGTGGTGGACAGTTCCACACACGTGGTCGTGTCCTACATCAAGCACACACTGTGGGGTCTGCTTCTCCGCTCAGGGAATTCATCCAAGATGCAGAAGTCCTCTCAGTCTGTGCACAGAGACACCCCAGAAGTGCAGGAACAGTAATACCTTGGGAGGCCACCCTCAACCATTCGAGGAATGGGGTTGTTGGCAAAATTCCCAGCCCGTCCTTTGGTGGGAAAATCCTGGGACCCATTCTCCAATTTCTGTGAAACCGAGTCTCAATTATCCACAGTGGTACTCGTTCAGTTACACCCACTTTGTCGGTATTCCTCGCTTTCCTGCCCCACTCCTGCTGCTCTGATCCTTTGGATCACCTTGTAAATAAACTACCTGGCCCCCATCCTTGTCTCAGGCTCTTCTTTAGAAAAGTATAAACAAAAACCATGTACAAGAAGATCAAATAATATCTATAATTATGAATGAGTCATACAGGAGATACCTAAGACCAATCTGCAGAAAACTATAAGACAGTATTATAAGTTAAAGAAGGACTAAACAAATGGAAGTATATAAAGTATTTGTGGATGGGAAGACTACATATGGTAAAGATATTAATTCACCAAAATTGATCTATGTATTAAATACAATCTTAATCAAAACCCAAGAGACTCTGTTTTTAGAAACTTGGCAAGCTAATTCTCAAATTTTATGAAAATTCAAAAAGCAAAGAATACTGAAGACACTCTCGAAGAAGAACCAGTTAGGAGACATACTTTACTAAATATTAAGATCTTTTAAAGTCATGGTGATTAAGATGATGTGGTATTGACAAAATGATAAAGAACTGATGATTGGAACAGAAATGACAGGCAGAAATAGGCCCCTAAATTTATGATCACTTTGTTTAAGACAAAGGTGGCACTAAAGAGTGAGGAAAAGCTATTCTTTTTAATAAAAGATTCTAGGACAATTAGATACAATATATTTTTTAAAGCCTTGATTATGTCTTCACACCACACATATAAATTAACTACATGTGGATGGTAAAACTGACCACAAACTTTAACACAAGAAAGCTTGTGGAAAATAATATAGGAAAAAGTGTTTTTACTCTTCTACTTATAATCCTAGTTACTGTATATCCTTCACTATTTTATTGGGCTTTAAAGATTAATGATTGCTAAAACACTGTTATTTATTGTACCTTTATAAATATGGGACAAACACTTTGGTCTCAGAATGATTTTTGGTTTTAATGACATTTAATATTAATATGAGAGCTTATTCTCTCTGTGTTTTCTTAACACATCTTTGCCTACCCTGCTCCTGACTTTTTGTTTAGGTGCATATTTCACAAGTAGCGTATACTTCATTTTCCTTCCTGAACCATGAGGAAAGGCTTTGCTTTTCATTCAAAAACTTTAACCCATTTGTACTTATTGTTATAACTGATATTTTATTTCTCTTGTTATATTTATAATTTCAATTTTATGATTTCTTATTGCTTCTTTGTTTTCTATATTTTAAAAAATGCAATGGAAGAAAGGCCTCACTTAACAAGAAATTATAACAAAATAGAAAATATCTAGAAAAATACAACATCTTGGGAAATGTGCCAGACACGTACAAAGAAAATTTTTAAACTCTACTGCGAGATGTAGAAGAATGCTTAAAGAAACAGAAGGATGGAGTGCCTCCCACACCTGCTAAACTGAGGACCACAACGCTACCGATTTCCCTCAAATCAACCTGTGAGCGTCCTGAAATTTCGTTTACAACTTTAAAGCGTTTTGTTCGAGTGCTATTTTTATAATTAGATAAAGTGAGTCTAAAATTTATGAGAGAATAATCTGGCAGAAGCTATGGACACAACTGACAATTTCGAGGCAGGCCTTGTACAAGCAGAGCTCAGAAGCACGCGGTGTGACGAGCCGCGAGAAGCAAGGGAGGGGCGGAGGAGCCGCGGGAGGAGCAGAGCGAGGCCGGCAGCGCAGGGAGGGCGGCGCGGAGGAGGAGCTCCGGGCACCTGGCACCTGCGGGCCAGGAATCCAGGCGTCCCGCCGGCCAGCCCAGGCTTAGCAACAGCAGCAGCTCGCGGGAAGGTTAGTTACACAAATTGATAAAGGCATGGAGACTTCTTAGCACACGGCCCGGCGCGCAGTCCTCACTCGGTACCTTCTTGCCGGCAGTCGCTGTCGCTCACAGAGCGCGTTAGCCCTTAAAGATTCTGAGAATTCCTACAGGAAAGAAGTCTGCTCCATGGCTCTTAACGCAGGCTTCCAACACTTATGTGAACAGAACGCGCCTTTTTTAAACCTAACTTCTCTTAAATGACCGTGGTCCTGAGGAGCATGCTCTGGGCAGCGCAGCCCCCGTAGGAGTAAGAACTCGGGGTAGACAAGGACGGCATTCAAAATTACCGGGGTAACACGGGAAAAGTTTTTAAATGATACAGAGAAAATCAACTATTTGGAAAGAAAGTTAGGGCTTCATTTCAAACTTTGTATAAAAATAAACCATAAGAAACTAAACTAAATAAACTAAAAAGAACTAGCAGGAATAAACTAAAATAAATAAAATTTAATTAATTAAAAGAAAATGAAAGAAACCATAAAATACTCTTGGTTGTTTGTTTTTAAACCCTGTTTTAACCTTAGCGTAGAGGTTACTTATCTTAGCATAGCAGCAAAAGCAAAAACTAAGGGAAAATCTTGATAGATTTTATTACATGATAACAGAATTTCCGCAAATTAAAAAACATCATAAATGCAATAAAAGGAAAACTATCGATCTTTTTAAATATCTGCTACTATACTCAATAGGAAAACTATGACCAAAACAGGCAATTGGCATAAAAAGATAATTTAACAAGAAGACACATAATATCCAATCTAATACTATAAAACAGGTAATTCAAAGAGAGAGAGTGAGAGAATATTGCACTGTCCCCTACTGCTGGGGAAGATTAAACCCACCCTGCTCAAGTGTTTGGGGAAATGGAAAGTGTACCCCGAGGAGAGTGTCAGTGTGAACTTTCTGAAGGTCAGTTTGGAACTTGTAGCAGAAGCTTTAAAAATATTAAGTACTTTGATCTAGAAACTTCACCTCTGGGAATTTATCCCAAGAGTATGGAAGGCTGCAAAGACAGTCACCAAAGTACCGATCTAGGATTGAAAACTGGAAAACCAATACTCACTAAGAGGTTGACTAAAACTTCCGTACATCCTTACAATGGAATCACCTCGTGTTGTAGAAGAATATTTAAATACTTGGGGAAAGGCCAAAGATAGATTATTAGGCCAAAAAAAAAAAAGCCATTTCCAGATTTGAAAATGTACGAGTGGTGGGGTGTCAGGGGAGTGAGACTGAGCAAGAGAAAGAGAGACAGGAAAAAGCCCAGAAGACTTGACGATGAATTGTTCAATGCGGTCCTATTGTTTGCGGGGATTCTTCTCACAGTAAACACGCACAGCTGATACCTTGGCTCCTCCAGAGGTGGAGCACGCGGTGAGGGTTGGAGCAGGAGCACAGTGGGGAAAGTGGGAAGGTAGCAGAGGGGAGGCGCCTGGGCCACACTCGCCTGCAGGCTGGCTCCCCTGAGAGAGGAGGACGCTGGGCTGTTCATCCAGCAGGTCTGCCCTGGCCGAGGACTGCGGGGCATGAACGCACAGCACGTGTGACTTCCACGTGTGGGGTCAGCCCGCCCCTGCAGCCAGAGGAGGCCTTGGGGAGAGGGTCCCAGGGGCTTGCAGGAGAAGCCCCAGCAGGAGGAAGGCGGAGCATGCTTGGCTCAGGCAGGGGACCCATGGCTTCCGGCCCAGCTGAGACAACCAAGAAAAGGAAACATGGAAATTATTCTTACAACCACATTGAAATATAGAAAAATTAACCACTGTTTGGGGTGTTCCTAAGCATCATACATGACAGCAAGAAGAATACGAAAACCACATCGCTCTAACAGGCTGCACGCGATCCACGACCAGGTGTGGTGGGGGAGGCTGAGCTACCAGCATCGGGAGGCAGGTGCCTTTCAGCTCCTGGCTGGGGTCTTGCGAGGAACAGGCTGTGTGGACATGGCCTCACCTGGGAGGGGCTGACAGGGAACATTTTTACATCAATTCTAGGGTGGCAGAGGGCCGCAGAGGGAAAATACCAGAGGTAGAAACCGAAGAAGCTGCTGAGCAAAGGGTTTGCAGGGGTGGACCTGCGTTTACAGCATCGGCTAGAATAGTGCTAGGCTTGGAGTGACACCCCGTAAATCCTGACTTAACCAAACTGTGAGGACAGGACCGACAGCACAAGCAAAGGGCGCTCGAACCTGTCCTCTGCCAGCACCCTGCCCATGCCCCACACCCAGAGTGTGCCTCGGAAGATGCTTAGAGGCACAACACCCAGTGTGAACAAACTGGCTCGCCTCCCGTCCCCACCGTTCTCAAGAGGAAGTATTCCTTCTAATATGTGATGCCATTCTCCGTCGACTCCCAAGGAGCGCCTACTTCTCCCCACACCCTTGACTTTTGATCCACTGCTGCCTGGTAGGTCTCTTTTTGTTATTCTTCAACGGCTCCTATGTGTGACACAGAGTTTGCCGGAATGGAGAAAGTAAGACGGGCAAAATCACATGCAAGATTCTAACCTGTCCGGGAGAGCGGGCACATTTCACTCTGGACACAGTGGGTCTAAGATAAGAAGACCATCTGCACTGCGTGGGCCCAGCTCAAATCCTGCCTGCTGCCCTGGAGGCCCCTGCGATGGCATTATTAGTGACCGCTCAAGTGGCGTCCCAGCAGGAGTATAAGATGGCAAGCCAGAGCCGAAGCGGCACCAAAAAACCTCAACAGAGAAACTTAGGATGGCTCCTTTGGCACCAGCATAGATTCCATAATGCCTCCAAAATCCAATAGCAAATTTGTAAATCAAATCAAAAGTAGGTGAAATGAGCCCAAGTGGGAGAGATAAGTGGGGCTGAAATAAAAGTAGGAGGAAGTATTGCACCATGAGGCTGAATTTAAAAACGCGAGGCCATTTGGAGTGAACTCATCAGTTTTCGGCAGAGTAGCCTCTGTCCCAGGAAAGCTCCTGTGTGGACTATCAAGTGTTATTTGAAATAGCTTCTGAGTCGGATTACCTTTCTTCTGTCTTTTTTAAACCTGACCTTATGTTTAGTTCAACTGCACCGCTTTAGGACAAAGTTGGTGCAAATAGGGTTCATGCAGCCAGAAAATACCGTCAGATATGACACAATACGATGTATGGGTTGGGGTACAACCGACGCCCTCGCCGGCTCCCTCCAGTCCCTTTCTCCCCGCACACCTTGAAAGGTATGCAGGAAAACCACACACCCCCAACTGTGGAAGGCGGCAGCTGTACATACGCAGGGACATTCGTGTCCTATATGCACACATCTGAAGAGGATCGTTTCCACAAACACCAACGGACGGAAAGTTCCTTATGAGGCATCTGAACAGGGCCCCTCCTCCCCCTCCCTCTCCCCATTCTCCCCCTCTTCCCCCTCCTCTCTCTCCTCCCCCTCCTTTCTCCCTGCCTTTGAGGTTTGGACAGGCCTCAGGCTTCAGGAGGCTTCTGGAACATGGCAGCAGTGGGTCATGGCAGCGGTGGGGGATGAGCAGCGTAGGGGATGCGCGGCGGTCGGGGGAGGCACAGCGGTGGGATGAAGGCGGAAGCCCAGGCCACCCTGGCCCCTCCGGGCACACTCACGGGCAATCTGCCCACCCACAGGCTCAGGGAAACCGAGGCTCTCTTCAGATGGCGACAGCGTCACTGAAGAAAGGGCATTATTTTGGCTTTAAGTGGATAAAAATAGAAAAAACTCACAGGTTTGAAGTGTGACTGGGCCTGCCTAGTGGTCAGCCTTCCAAGGCGCGGTCACCTGGTCACATGGAAGCCGCTGGTATCTTCCGGTTGTGGCTCCGAGCCTGATGCTGGTGTCTCGACTTTGGGATCCAGAGCCCCCAGGGCTGAAATGTCCCTTTTCCTAACCGCATCCCTTCTGTGTTCCTGGAGCAAAATCTCAGGGCGAACGGAAAACACGAACAAACACGGAGCAGGAGCCCACACCCCGAAGCCAGGGAGCACGGCCCCCTTCCCAGGAGCTGAGGCCGCTCTGGGGGGCGCCCCGTATCCGGGACACGGAGCATACGGGGCACCCTTCTGAGGGCGCTTCTGGCTCCTGTGTCCAGAACGCTTTGACTGGGCTGTGCTTGGTCATTCCGCATTCAGTACATGTGATTGATACTTTATTCCATATTCGTTTGTTCTTTTCGCCCGTCCTGTGAGCACTTTCTTTCATGAGTATAGAATAGGAGCATTTTCATAAATACGATATTTTTTACTAGAAATGTCATATGTGCATGTCTTGTTCTCCGGCTGAATCCAGAGATGCCCGGGTCGTGGGCCTTGATTGGTGCCCTGCACCCGTCGTCTCCACCATCATGCAAGGCACAGCAGGAGCTCGACGAGTATCTGTTGATTAGTGGAACTCGAGCCATGAAAGACAGCCCTCTTTGGGGAGCTGTATCCTTTAAGTGGGCCAATTAGCTTGTCTGCTCCCCATCACCACTGATGGGATATTGTGAACTGCTCATGTCTACAATCAGCAGATTCAGGTACTCATCGTTGTGAATAGCTTTCCACTCTTCCAGGCTACCAAAAATAGCTGTACAGTAAACTCTCATTATGCAGGATGATGGTAAGACGCGGTATTGTAATTAATTAAACATTCTGGTCAGTACAAAGAACATATATATGCAGAAGACCAGCCTTTACAAAATGAGGACATAATAAGGTATACTTAGTGCTAGAATTACGCCAAACATGATGTAATTGCCTTGTTCGAAATGATCTAAAAGACTCATCTTAGATCTCGCAGGGTGCACGCAGGGTATCAATTTGGAGAGAAAATCTGTACTTCCATTTATACACCAAGTTGAGGAGAAAGGCTTAAATCTTTCCTGATCCCTGAATATCCATGAAGCTCCCATTTTAAACGTTCTAGTATCGGCCTTATTTTCAATAGCTGAGCCTTTAATTACTTGCCTGAAATTCCTTGCTATTTTAACTCTGGACAAAGGGTAATTTAAAGAATATTATCTCTCTGTTTTAAAATGAATGAGAAGGAAGTCGTACAGCGAATTTCCAGGGAGTCTGAACGTTAGGAGTTTTCCTCACACTCAGGATTTTGTCTGTCTTGCAAGATTCTCTCTTTAAAATCTTACTTTTTGTCACACATGTTACCAGCCATTTCAATAGAAATTGAAGTAGTTAAAATTAAATTTTAGTGTATTATACAGCTTTCATGCAACTTTGTTTACTTAAAGATTCTCTAATGTACAAAAGAGAGTCTATCAACTATTGTTTCCAATTTGTTCTAGTTTTGGAAATTTAGGTTTCTGTATGCGTAAGTGCTCAGAAGTATTTGAATAATGAGCATATTTTTAAATGAGTAAAATAACATTAAAATATAATGTGATTCGATGGATCTATAGTTCTCAACCCCGGTGGTACGTTGGGATGACCCAGGAGCCTTTAAAAAAGACATAAGCAGGCCCCAGCCTGAGACTTTCTTTAAAAGTTAATATTTAACTAAAATTTAGGGCTGGGGCAGGGCCCAGGAATCCATACTTTTAAAATTGGGGGAGATTTTAAGCAAAGTTAAAACCCAAGACTGTGGTAGAGAGAAAAACTGAGCTTCTTAGTTAAATATTTATTGAGAGGAGCAGGGTCTGTCCTCTCGAAACAGGAGAGAAGGAAATTCACGGTTCTATGTGCAAAGACAACTGCGTCTGGCAGAGGACTTTCCAGTCGGCATTCCCAGCTCACCGAGGACTTCACGTCCTCTTTAGAGGAAGCAAATGAACTCTGAGGCGCTGCCTTTTATTTCCCCTCCTCACAGGCTTCCCTTACCTTGATGCTCCAGATATAATTCTAAATCTTAAAGAAAAATGTATCAACAAACTCTTCTCATCTTTCTATTAATTTAGAAGTGGACAAATTCCTCATAAAAAGTACTGAAAGCAGAATGAGCTCGTAATTGGTTCCCACGTATTTACACTGGGCGCACAAGTTTGTGAACCAGATAGCATCTCCGGTGCGTGTCTGGGAGGAGGTGGCACTAAGATCTTGCTATCACGACATCAAAGCTGTGAAGAGATGAAAGGGCATCTTTCTATTTGCATCATAAACAAGTTTTACATATATGATATTCCAAGAATCTTTCATTTTAACAGGTGGAAAAACAAGGACAGAGGCACCTCCGTACAGCACACAACCTCACTTGCGGTTGGTGATTCAGTGTGCGCGGCTTTGATAGAACCTCCGCAATTAAGTGCGCTGATGAGCAAGGACTTGTTTAGCTCTTTATAGGGTACACCGTGTTTACTGATCCTCGGTTTATGGGATAAATCTATCATCATTTGGGCACAGCTGCAAATAAATTTTTAAAGGACAATTTTTATTCTAGAGAGCAAATTTCAAGTTTTTTGTCTCCTTTTCTGAAGGTTTATAACATGAAAGGGGCAACTTGGTAAGTTCCAACCTGCCTGCTGCAGGTGAGGAGATGCACGGCTGGGTAACAGGTCCTGTACGTCGGAATTTTTCTCCCGAGAGTCTGTGAACCAGGCTGCCGTGAGCCCCCCGACGCAGGCCTGCGGTGCAGTTTGCTGGCGGTGCAGTTTGCAGGGGATTGTCGCTCTTGGCGGTGGCGAGGTGCCTCTGCAGGGAGCACAGCGGCTGCGTCCAGGGGGGCACCACCCCGTTCTTTGCCCTTGTGAGAGAGAGCAAAGAGACAAATGGCTTTCATCAAGAATGAGTTACGTGCAAATTAGGTGTCTTCTAATTGTACCCAGAACCTTTGTGAGAGTCCCGCTCAAGCTTACGCGATCTCTTAATTACAGAAACGCCTCTCTGAAACGGCTTCAACCTTCAAAATAAGAATGCAGTCATCCTTGGACATCCTGGTCTTTCCAGTGAGAAGGGGTGAAACGTTAAGTCCCGAGGCACAACAGACGTATACACAAAATGATTCACTATAATAGCCTCTCCCGTTTCACATAATGTCATCTAATACCGCAACTACATTTGTCCCAGAGGTGTATTTTGAATACGAGGAACATGGAAATATTTAAATAAATCAGCTATTTAATGAAATGAGGAGAGACACACTTCAAGTCAGCATCGTTAAAGATAAATATTGTTCTTTCATTAAATGTATGAAAGAAATGCAGACTGCACATTGCTTCACGGGTCACGCTCCGCCTCTGAGAAGGCAGCAGGTGCCAGCTGGAAGCGGATCTCAGCTAAGCGAAAGCCTCGATCATACAGAACCGACCCGTGTCCTTGCGTGTCACTTCAATCAGCTAATATATACTGGGCATTGATTTGTGTGGCATTATGCTAATTGCTAGGGAGGGCAAACTAAATGGAGAAAACACCGCGCCCTCAGAACCCTGTAATCCTGCTGGGAAAAATGAGACTGAGCAATCAGAACAAATCAATGGACGAGACCGTTTTCTGGGGAGCACCGCAGGCTGCACAGCAAATACCAATATAATAAAGTGTTAAATTGCATGGCAAAGAGAAGAGGATGACAAAAACATGCTGAATGTTGACTAAATTCCTAAGAACTTAGACTGGATGTTGCAAGGCCAACACTTACACCTGACACTCAATCCGCTCTGTGCCTGGTGCATCTGCTCTTCTCATGGGTCACAGCAAGATGGAGAACACATGTACTTGGCTGGGGCCAGGGTTAAGAAGGACCGCAAATTAAAATATCCAAGACGCTATCCCAGTCTTCATTTTCATCATCTCTTTGGGGTAAGCGCACGGCATCTCTAAGATGTGTGGGCTTCTGTGACCTGATGGCAACAAGAATGAAAGGCTCCTGGAGCACCAGGGCTTTCCTGGACCACTGCTGGTCTCGGCACTGCAGGCTGGCCCAGCTGGGCCCTGGCTGGTCACTCCTGAGCTGTAACCAGTGCCATCAGGGACCAAGGGGTCTGGCCATCAGACCCGAGTTATGAAATCCCCATACTAACAGCTCCTCTTTCCCCCAAGCCCAGCACCCCTGCACCCCTTCAGCAGGACTCAGGGCGACATCTGGATTCCCTTTCTACCCCTCGCAGACTATGGGAAAGCCAGGTATGGTCTCAGGTTCATGAGCCACCCCATCCGCCAGCCAGTCCCACACCACGCTGCAGCGCCATCTTGGCTGAGGCACCAAGCCGAGTGCAGAGGTCCTCCTAGAGTTTCAAGTGACGGGATGGAGTGAGTGTCCCTCCTTTTGACTTTTCCTCCACACACCACCCTTCTGGAACCTTCACTCTGGGGGGCAAGTCAGGATATATCATCTCTTGTCAGCTCTGAGTGTCACTCCCCTCCTCTCCTCTCTCCTCTCCACAAGCCTGTAGGTCAGAAGGAGCTAGCCGTTCACTCCTGTGCCTCACGGCCTGGGCTTTCTCTGCTCAGAGTCTTCTCCACAGACCCAGGTCTCAACAGCGTAATGGGAATAAAGGACCTTAGAAAAGATTTCCTCTCTCGACAAAACCTGGAATTCATGATTATTTTGTCATCATAAAAATCTTACTTTGGATTTCAAAAGTTGAAAATCAATGTCCTTCTTTTGTTTCCACTCCTACGTAACAATCCCAGTCCTCCAAGAAAAGTGGCGTCTCCAGAGCAAGAGGGGCGAGCCCAGGGAAGGAGCCGCAAGGGAAGAGCACGTGAACGTGCACTGAAAGTATGACTCCAGTTCTGTTGTATTTATTCTTGTGTCACACCAGATCGCCCTGGGAGGTCTTCATGGAGGGAGAGGCATCTGGACTTGGCATTTAAGGATGAAGAGAATAAGGTGAATGTGTTGGATTGGAGAGGCAGAGTGGAGACAACTTGAGCAAAGGCCCAGGGAGTTACAATGAAAAGTGTAAACTATCTAAACATTGCTGAAAACAGGGATTTGTGCAGATAACGGCATTTCCTGAGGCCTATCCGAGTTTGGTGTCTATGGAGACCTAGCACCTTAACTTTCTGCCAATAAAAATCTGTTTTCAGAAACAGTTACCATGAAGCTTTGCAAGGTCTCCAGGTGTCAGACAAATATTCAGCAACTACTCCAAGAAACAGAAAGATTCAACTTAACAAACCGACTAAGGTTAGTAATTGGGGTTATGATGGTATCAGTAAGTACAGTAAAAAAAGAACCACAAATTAGCGAGTAAATCGTGGAGTGGAACTCCAGCACAATTCTCCCGACTGTGAACTCAGGATTCTTTCTGTTACACCACATCGCCTCTCTTACTATCAGCATCCCTGAACTTTTACTAATCAAAAGACAATGGAGCAAATGGCCCCAATCTTAGCAGCTGAGATTGGCTTTTCTTCTTGGTCCACAAGCAATGACCCTACAAAGCCACTTGGCGGCTGCCGATCAACTTGGCCCCACTACTTTCCCAGATGCCCTGTCCACAGGTGACAATATGGATGTCTGGGCACAGACACTGTGTGCTGCTGCTCGACAATCCACCATCCATTGGCGAGCTTCTTTTTCTTTGCATGGATTAGAGGTGGTGGGAAGGGAATTCCTAAAGTCCCATGGGTTCCAGGAAGCCTACGCTCATGGGCTTTCACCCCCCTCTTCACACAGCACATGTGTCAAGTCCTACGTCTTCTGGAGTCCACAGAGTCATGGTAGATACTTCTCAGGAAGCTGGACCACTTCTGGAGATGGAGTAGAAAATGTATGTGCCCAAGATTCTCCATCCGTGTGCTCAGTGTCTGCCTAGCCTACGAATTAGGCTCTCCTCCCAGCTCCCCCATCTTGTGCTGCTGCAGGCTGTAATCTCACGTGTTCTAGTTACTTCCCAGTTCTTAACACCTGCCTTGACACCACCACCAAGATCTGGTAGTGACCAAGACTGAACAACCAGTCAGGGACACCAGAGACATCACAAACTCCCGCTTGGACCATTACAGACATGCCTGTTGGATTGTATATCGAACTTTCAAGAACCCATCACCCAGCTTCAACAATTATCAGCATTCTGCCATTCTTGTTTCATTGACCCCCACCCTTTCTCCATGCCCCACTCAATTATTATCCTTACTATATTTTTACAGTTCTTTTGGGGGAATAAATTTAAGTACACTGAAATGCATAAATTTTAATTGAATAATTTTGACAAATAGATAACAGCTGTGTAATCCACATCCTATCATGCTGTAGAACATTCCACCTTGTCAGAAGGTTGCCTTCTGTCCCACCTCCTAGAGGCAATCACTGTTCAGATATATTTCACCGTTGGTTGATTAGCTCAGCCTATACAAGAGCATCACATAAATGGAGTCATACGGGATGTGTTTTGGGGGCCTGGCTTCTTTTCTCAGCTTAACGTCTGTGACCGTCATCCACGTGTTGGCTTTGCCAGTAGCCCGTTCCTTTTCATTGGTGAGCAGTATTCCACTGTAGGAATGTACCACAATTTGTTTATCCTTTCCTCTCTTGGTGGCCATTTGAGTTGTTTCCAGTTTTTGACTATTGTGAGAAAAATTGCTATGAGCACTAGGATGCAAATCTTTTGGATGTATATTTTTTTTGGTTTGGTTTGGTTTTTCTAAGTATATAAAAACATGAGTCCAGTTATTGAATCAAAGAGTGTGTGTTTAATTTCATAAGAAACTGCCAAGGGGGCCAGCCCTGTGGCCGAGTGGTTAAGTTCGTGCGCTCCGCTTCGGTGGCCCAGGGTTTCACCGGTTCAGATCCTGGGCGCGGACATGGCACTGCTCGTCAGGCCGCATTGAGGCAGCGTCCCACATAGCAGAGCCAGAAGGACCTACAACAAAACATACAACTATGTACTGGGGGACTTAGGGGAAAAGAAGAAGAAAAAAAATAAAGAAGATTGGCAACAGTTGTTAGCTCAGGTGCCAATCTTTAAAAAAAATTTTAAAAAGCTGGGCATGTTGAGGGAGGAGGTTTGAATTAACACATGCTTCGTTAAAAAAAAAAAAAAAAGAAACTGCCAAACATTTTCTAAAGTGGTGTACTACCAGAAGTGTGTTAGAATTCCAGTTGCTCCTTTTTAAAAAATTGTAGTCATTCCAATGAATGTGGATTGATATCCTGCACAGTCTTAGTTTGCATCCTTCTGCTGACTATGATGGTGAGCACTTCTTTATGTGCTCATTTCACCGTGTGTGTATCTTCCTTGGTGAAGTCGTTGTTCTAGTCTTTCCCCATTTTTTAAAATCAGTTGTTTTCTTTTTGTTATTGAGTATAGGAATTATCTTCTCAATACAAGTCCTTTGTCCTATGTGCATTGAGAATATTTTCTCCCAGTCTGGGTTTGCCCATTCTCTTTCTTTAACTGTATTTTTAATGAGCAGAAAGGGATTTTTTCCAATGTCTTATTAAATTTTTCTCTTGTGAATATTGTTTCCCATGTCCTGTCCAGGAAACATTTGCCGACTTCCTGGTTATAGAGGTATTCTCCAATGTTTTCTTTTAAACACTTTATAGCTTTAGTTTTTACTTTTGTGTCTATGATCCACCTCAAATTAATTTTTGTTTATGGTATGAGGTAGGCCAAATTTCTTTTTTTTTTCTTATATGGATATCAAGTTATTCCAGTAATATTTGTTGAAAAGACTTACTTTTCCCATTAAACTTCCTAGATGCCTTGGTTAAAAATCGATAGACCATATTTACGTGGGCTCCCGAATCTCTATTCTAGTCCATTGTTCTACTTACATCTTCTTGCCCTATAACCA